GTAGACTTAAGGGCTCCAGTGTCTTCCGACGCACAACGCAGTCAGAGCATTTGTATCTGGAAGTAATAATTTAACATTGGCCCTTCCAGTCAGCCATCATTGTCAGCAACCTCCCCTTATCCCATCTACGTAGGCTGTTTGCGTCACTGCAGTGTTCCAGTAGTGGTTCAAGGGCCTGGAGAAGGGAGATAACGTCATAAACCTCACTGTGTGTGCAAACCAGTCCCAGCTGACACTAATGCACACTGTTGCCCATATGTCATACGAACATTTGAAATGTTTCGCTTGCCTGTTGCCCTTAGGGTTGTGGCAAGCAAGCAGAGGAAAGGTGACAGCTAGCTTACTACAAGAAGGGAAGGGGGTTTGACTTTGGATTATGTTACACCAGATACCCCATGCATGAGACATGGGGCTGGTTGAAAGTCAGAGTTCAACAAGATATGCCCACCCACTTTTCGCCTCAAGAAATTTACTAGACTGTCTGAGACATCCATAACTTTGCACCTTAACCACCCACCTCTCTCTCATGGCTCTTGAGCTATTTGTCTTCTTCTGATCACCAAGCATTGTTCTCCGTATAGCCAGGTTCTTGTACTGTAGTTGTAGGAAACATTAGTTTCTTAATGTTCAGCTAAAGTTATTCTACCAAAAGATATATAGTAATGTACTTCATTCCATTGACAATCCATCACTCTTTATCCACACTTCCAATACCTGCTCTTCTTAGTTATTAGCCCTCTGAGTGCACACCGAAGCCCAGAGCTCAGGGATGAAATACTATATATAATATATTTGACTATTATGGAGTCTACATTTTATTACAGGCATCATGGCAGTCTGCAATGCAGTAGTGCAAGGAACAGGTGGTATTATCCACAAAAAAAAAATTAAAATGCATTTTGTAAAGCACCCAACACTTTCATACTCACACTTACATTTTACATTGTGCCTTTAAGTTATAGCTATAGTTTGGTCTCCATATATAAAATACTTCTCCATATACAAAATACTGTAGGGCACACAATAACTGCTGCTATATAGAAGAGGTAATTTTGGTAGGATACTACATTGTAGGTTGCCCGATTGTTACACTTTGCTATATTCAACTTTCATTGATTGTGGTTTTATAAATATGAATTTCACTTTGTGAAGAAATATCGTTTTTCAATTTTGACTATTGATGATCCAGTTAAGGCCTTGAGACAGAAGCATTTTGATGACAATAGCAACATTTATCGGATTGTAATTTGATAATTGTGCTTAGTAATACATGTCTGCTGTTCATATATTTGTGCAGTAATTGCCATATGTCACCACAGCAATATGCAATCCACACGGCTCTTTTTCTACCCACCTAAAGTTTATTCCTGGAAATGTGTGGTTGAAAAATGTGTAACGCTGACATTTGTGCAATAAACATAGTGAATGAGTCTCGTATATTAAAAGTCCCTGACATCACCTGATGAAACCGGACCGTTCCATTTCCCCGGGGGGTGCCCTACAGCTGTTGGGGCCCTCAGCAGGAGACCACCATCTATGTCGTTCCCTTCTATATTTTACTATGCCAGCAATACTTGGAAATCTTTGTGTCTGAAGTCAGGTTTCGTTTGCTTGGAAAAGAATTATGGCATAGCCACAACAAAGCTTTTGTGAGCACATGGAATTTCCTGTTGTTGTTACAAAGTTACCTGATGGTCATTCAAACCCTTCAAGAAAAGATATTCAGCTTTCTTGAAAGGAAATACTGAGACATAGGTCGTAAAGATTTATTCGCTTTGGCCAATTGCAAAGCCACCTTATGACCTCAAGGATAGTAAATAGTTTTCTTCCTTTTCGTAAATGCCAAAGTTTAAAGCCTTTAAGCTAGTGGCATGCAGCTCTGTCATCTCTAGGCTCCACAAACCTCTAGTTTGTTACCAAATGTTGAAACAGAAAGCACATTCAATCCCCCCCTGTTTTAAGAAGATGAAAAGGCAGCTGTTGTTTAACTTCAGGCGGCTTTCTGTTAACTCACTGTCGGCGTTTTGTCAATACTCCTCCTATCACTGTCATAAAGAACCCCCACTAGGGATGTTGCCATGATATGCCATAGAATATTGCCCCCTGGGTACAATTGTATATGGGAGTATGCGACATAAGACCTTAATGTCTGGATAAAAAAACCATTTCCTAACCTGGAGGCAAAGGGAACAGTCCAGGGATCAAGGCTTTGTGTCATTTTTCCTGGGAACAGTTAAAATGATGGATTCTGCCACAAGTAAGTTGGTCGCAAATTGTCGCTATATAGCACAGGTGTTTTATCTCTGTTATTCTGAAATGATACGAATTGAAACCATTTTAAGAGACGCATGCAGACTGATGTAAATTGTCTCTCGGATGGTCTAGATTTTGCTAAATAGCAGAGTTTATAGGAAAATGTAGTGAATTTTAATCAAAAGTCGCAGACTACAATGTAGTTAAAGCCACTCGCATAGATAGTAGCTTGTCAGTGGATTTAAGGTACAACCAGCGGCAGATGTTTGGTACAGATAAGGTATTGATCACATTGATGGTCTCTACAAAAATTGATTTTGTGCATGTTGCTTATCTTGTCTATTGTATGTTACTGGTGGTCTGCTTGTAATAGTGGTGCAGCAGTATTCAAAATGTATGGAGCTGTAGGATATTTACTGCAGAATTGTTGCTACTTTTGGGTACTCGGGTATTATTTTGAACAACAAAAATGAGTATAGCTGGTCAATCTCTCACAACCATATATGCATGTTTTTAGTATGTAAGTTTAGTGAAGCAAATAAGTATATAGAAGGACAGAGTTTAAGGGATCATTATTATCCAAGAAATTTGTTTTTTTTGTAGTCATAGATTGTAATAATCTGCTTCCCATATACTGGTAGTTTCAAACTACCATTATCAAGTTGCTTACCTTATAAAACAACATGAAGAGATTCCTGCTATAAATGGTCTCACGTGACATTTTCCCAAGGACTTATTGAATGACTTATACGTACATGTGTAGGAAACCTGTGGAGATGCAATAGGATGCCAAGTATTGACTGCATGTTCCATTCTTGCACAGAAAGAGACGAAGGTTTAGCCACATGCAGGCCTTCTCACCAAGTCCAATACACCTCTCAAAGTCATCTGTCACTGGCACTGCTGATAACTGAACAACAGAAAAGTGATGCAGTGGGTACAATACACCGCACAGATAGCCAATACCGCTAATAAATTGAATCATCTCCAATGCTCTAATCTGGTGAAAAGCAGATGTTGGTTGTTATCGTATCTGACAGCACCTCTCCTGCATTAGACAGAAACCTGCTTGTCTTGCAGTAAGGTGGGAACAATGGGTTCAAGGTTCAGCCGTTTGTCATGTCAGGTGGAGAAACACACCTGCAGGTGGGATGTAACCAGAACGTACTGCACCTGCGCAAAACACATAATGTATTGTGCATATAGCCTTTTGGCAGGATGTCTCGTTTAAGATTGTCTTAGTGTATATTTGAGGATGACATCCCCATCTATAGTTTAAGAGATATTGTGTCGGGAAAGATATTGTCTGCAATAGGCAGAATTCAGATGCAACATTCACCAAAACGTCCGTGAAAAATCCGGGTTTAGCACAGGCGCAGTCTGCCTACATGCTACTGCAGGTGGTACAGACTACATGTACTTCAGGTATGAAGTCTCATGTGAGACTGTCACAGAGCACTGTAATCTCCAAGCAGATGTTGGGTGGACAATCATAGCATTTTCTGACTGACCGCATGGCTTTTGCAAAAGGTTAGAGGAGACTGCTAGGAAAGCTGGCAAAACATGATTGCACACCCTAACATCTGCTTGGTAGTACAGTGAAATGTAGGACTGTTGTAAGATGTGTCCTTTGGGTTAAGTGTCACACTTTTATTTTGTTGTCTTGAATGTAGATACAATAGTATTGTCTGCATTCTCTCATAAATAACTTTGTACAATGGCACATTTTTCTGGGTTGACACATTTCATAATATCCATTTTCATTCATACATGTAACCATATGAGATATGAAAGTACTTCTGTAGACAATCATATCACACAAACAGGTCTCTGAAGACTTTCTGAAAAAAAAATGTTATCAGATAACATAGTAATACAGTACACGAACATATTGTTATTTAAATGCACATTGTCAGTATAAAGGTGCATCTATAGGCCCACATCTCTGTAAAAGATAAAATGTTAAAAGCCTTGATCCCTGTGATTACAGTACTTTTCCTCTGTGCCTTAGCTGGTAAGTCCCTGGGAGTGTCCTTCTTGTCAGTCACTATGGATTAGGCCACTTCACAGGTTTAAGTGCTTCTTTTATCTCTACTCCTCTGAGACTGATTATGACATCACTGCAACAAACAGACTTAAATGTTAATGGTGCACACTTTAATGCAAGGCCTTGATGTTGGGAGCGTCATCCAAATGATTGCATTCTTCCTGCCTACAACTGAAAGACGTGTATCCTTTCCAGAATTTTGACAGCCTTCCAGTTCAAGGATATGATACTTTGCCTCAAGATGCTTCAGATTCAGAGGTTCGGAAATGAGTCTGACCTGAGGATCACAACATTTCCTGTGTATCTTTGTGTTCTAGATGAAAAGCAAACTACGAAAGGACTTGCAAACAAACAGTTTTAGATTGAGGTTGTGTCAAACACTAATGGTTTTGAACCTAAGGGTCAAATTTCATGGCTACTTTTAGCAGTAAGGATGACTCTTGTTGAACCTGACTCTCAGGATAAGAAACTGTGGAACGCTGAACCTCAGTACACTGGGAGCCATGAATAAACTTTCCCATTAGTCAGAATAGCAGTCTCATAGACAGCTTGAGGCTTTTTTGATATTGTTCATGAATATGATTTGTTTGAAATGTGAGATGTATTTTTTCATAATGCATAATTATTAATGGCTGTGCGTGATTGTACATCAAACAAGGTGTCATTACCTCATGATTATTTTATGGACTGTTCCATTCAGGAGCCCAGCAGGGGGTTAAAAGGAAAGCGGAGGATGATCCGAATGATGGCATCCCTCCCAGCATGCTCCAGCCGCTGTACTGCAAGGTGTGCAACGTGAGCCTGAACTCCCCTCCGCAGGCACGGTCGCACTACAATGGGAAGAACCATGCCAAGAAAGTACGACAGTACCTTAGCAAGACACAGTTGTCACAAATGCAAGTGTCACAGGTGAGGGTTTGATCTCAATGTAGGAGGAACTTTTAGACTCCTTGCTTAGACACATTGGAAGATATCATGAAAGTTCATCTGTGTTAGTAACTGTTGGTAGTAATCATAGTAAAATGTTGAACTTTATTCCAACACTTTAAAGATTATTCTTAAACAGAGATCAAATTTTCAACAACCTCTGTCGCCCTCATCAGGATAATTAATGACCAATCACTTCAAAACGTTATCCCACGAGAGTTACGGTTTCAGACATTGGAAGATACATTGTTATATCTTGTAGGGACATGTAATTTCATGACATTTTCACATATTGACATGTGAGTCATTAAAAATGATGCTTATACTTCGAAGTATACAATAAAAAAATAATACCTGACATTGTACTTCATTCTACTTCCAAGGACATTATACATTGCTACTTCTAAGGACTTGCTGCACAATTGTATTGAAGCAAAAAAAAATGGAAGAGAAACACTGTCAGAGAAGTAGTAGTAGGCATTTATACATGTAAATCTGGCAGGACTATGAATTAGTACAAATTCTATGCAATGTGATTATCATTTTTTTTTTACACACTTTACAGCACAGGATTTGTACTGCATGCATCATGAATGTTTGAACTCATACTGGTTGACAGACAATGACTTGAAAGCTTGACAATAAAAGTTTTCTCACTGCCTCTTCCAGTTCAAACGTTACAATAACTGCATGAGTCATGAACATTTATTGTGGCTGAAAATGATCCTGCTGCATTGTAAACCCTGTAAAACCAGAGGAGAGAATTTTACTTTCCTGACTTCACCATTATTGGTCTCCTCCCAAAGACGTCAGAAAAAGGGCAGAGATTACCCCTCTCCCCATAGGTCATCTGTGTAGAGATTATGAGAACTTCACGTCAAGATAAAAATACTAAATGTATTCTGCCCTATAGTTTTGGCAGTAAAAACAAGGGTAATGGATACTAAGACTGGGCTATGTTTTATTTCTAGGGAAATGGTAGATTGTGTGCATCTTTTTAATAGTCTTTTCCCCAGCTTTTGTTAGACAAAATTTATATTGTAAGATTCATAGTAATATTCGTCCTCTGTTTTGTTCAGTGAACTCCAGCAGCTATTTAACAGGAGCCTGAACTTTTGCCCCTGTATAAGGAACTTGGTACTCCAGCCTGGTATCAGGGTTATGTTGTTTAACATGTGTGAAATTGCTTGTGGGGGAATCCAACTTCCTTACATGGCAGAGGTGGTCAGAGACCGTGCCAAATTTCCCAGGGCAGTAGGTTTAAATTGTACTGATTTATATGGAGGGTCGATGGCCTCAAAAATAGACAACTGGACAGATCTTCTATGCAAGAAGATATGCTATACAAACCAAGTAATTGGGAAACACATTTTATATTATAGAGAAATTGGTATAGTTTGGTATTATAGAGAAAGTTAGTACCCAAAATTGTCTCTGCAGCAGCCTTCATCTCCAAAGTTTTAGTGAGCTATATGTTAGGTGGTTCCTGGTAAAACAGGATAAGATGCAATTTTCCCTGGAATTGCAACGGTTTGTCTGATTTATCGTATAATCAGATTTCTCTGTACTCCCTAAGCCTCCGTTGCTTTGACACAAATTATCAGCACAGCGGAGTTGATGGGAAAACTCTCATGCTTTGGATCCATCCGTGGGACATAAACATACAATATCTGAAAATAGATAGAGTTCATTACTGACAAAACTGGTAGAAGTTAGAGATGTAGTAAGTTAAAGAGCCCGGCTCCATTAACTGCTTCTGACATAAATGTAACACATAGTCTTTAGATTTTGATACTAACTGTAAGAAGTGTCATGTCCACCCATGTTGTCACTGTGACAACAGGATCCTGTGGACTCCTCAAATTTATCTTGTAATTAGCCAAGCAGCCGAGGCTTTGCAAATTGTCACCACATTTCAGACTCAAATGGCTCTCACTCCATTAGTGCACGGAACTGCTGTGTAATGATAAAAACGCAGTATAAGTTATCTTCCCCAGTGTTAGCATCATCAGTTGCAGTCCAAAATACATTTTACGATGGCAAGACATGAAATGGTAACATTTGTCTTGGCTGAGATCAAACTTTATCAAGTTTCTCATCTTAATGGACCATTTAACTGCCTAACCTAAACTTGAGATATTGCAGGAATCTCTTAAAGATGTTTGTTTAAGTTTATAGATGCTTGACTTGGTGTCAAAGCATTTCCCCTCTTTTGATTGCCATTTATTGGATGCCTTAGCCAATGTTGAATGGCGTAGCCATTTTTTAAAGTGACCCAATGGTAAAAAAACTCTGCATTTAATATGTACATGTTCAAAGGCATGCAACTCTACTAAGTTTCTTTTGAATTATTTTCTCTGCGTGGGAATGGGAATGGTGGGATGATAAGAATTTTCCACCTCTTGCACGCAGAGGTCAGTAAAGGTTATTAGCTGAGAACCACATGGACTTTACAACCCTGCCCTTCTGCATCTTGGGTCACGACTCCCAGTCTAGAGTTCATAGTGCCTGGAGCAAGACTTTTCTGCCCACCTAATTTATACGACTACTATCTACACTGGCAAAGGTCCACTTGGTGGGGTCATGTGGCGTAACGGTTAGAGTGTTCGGCTCAGATCCAAGAGGTCCCAGGTTTGAATCCTTCCTGATGCCACCAATTCTTATGCACTTGGGAAAGACACTTCACACAATTTTCCTCACTTCACTCAGGTGTAAATGAGTACCTAGCTTCGGTTAGGGACATCCCTCAGATACGATGTTAAATGGAGGTCCCATGTTTGGGAGAGCCACACCGGTACCCCACACATGTTAAGGAACCCACTGCACTTATCGAAAAGAGGGGCCCTTCCTGGTGTGAGTGATTCAAACCTTACAGTCCAGTCTTACGCAGCTTGTACTTACATGTACAAAATTGGTGTGTTACACCTAAAAAGGCGGTTTACCGGTTATGCGAAAGAAACAAATAAAGGTCATTTAAAACAGGCTGTTCTTTATACAGTCCAACCTGCCCACTTTTCAAGACAATCACCTGACCATGGTGACTGTTTTTTCTCCAAAATTTTTTATGAAATTTAGTAGATTTGTCCGTTTGGAATCCACATCCATTTTTTGTATAATTTAAAAAAAAAGGGTTGTAAAGAAGTTAGTACAACGATCCACAACCTCTTGCACTACTATTGGAAAATTCATTACACTGAATAACTTCAAAAGTGTCTGTAAACAAGGTCTTGTGAAGCAAACTTTGAAGCTAATTTTTAATCATGCTTGCAAGTGATGACTGCAGATTTACAGCCTAACTGACAGACAAATTTGCACCCTGTCAGCTCTAAGCTCTCAATATGTCTATACGATTGATTCATGACTTTAATGCCCCACTTTCTATTCTGTGCCTGATGAAACCTACATGTAAGAGAGACAAATATCACACTCTTTCAATGCTGTTACTGTGACAAATAGCAAAGCTTTTAAAACCTCTCAGCTTCTCTAGAAAATCCCATTAATCTTCCTCTTAAACTAGAATTTTTGATTTGGAGTTTTGTCCTTGTCAGCGGGGCTTTACTGCAATTATCTAAAGATATGGGTGGATACTGTAAATGCCATAGAAAAGCCTTGATGATGAAAGCCTGTAGAACCGGTAATGCATTTTTCTAGATTTGTTAAAATCCAGGCATAGCCAATTACATTTTCATCAGATATGTCTGTTTGCTATTTTGTACATGTGGCCTGCTGCAAATGATAAAATACAAGGTGAATAGAATTTATGCAATGAATGGTAGCATTTATATTCACTCTGTATTACAGTGTTATTGTGGGAGTCGATGCCAGAATTACAACTTTGGTGCAGGTAATAGCTGTGCCAAAAGTAAAGGAAGACAAACGAGGGCCAACAAATTAAGTGGAACTTTACGGCAAACATGCCTGGAGAATAGAATGTTCAGGAGCATAACTGTCAATCAGGAGTTTGTAGTCAGGATTTAAAGAGGGAACTTGGATTCTGTAATCTACCATAACCCTAGAAATGTGAGGTGAATACATTACTTCTGTAAGTACAAGTAGTTAATCTGAGACCATACGTACAATTTGCTACAGTCATTTAACTCTTATACAACTTTAAGAAAAGTTATGCTATGATAAAATAACTACAGGAATTTTATTCATGTGCCATCGTATGTTAATCCATTTCTGGAGCCCTGACACTTGAAGTGAATTACTTGGTGTGTTTATGGCAGCATCTACATGTAGCATTGAAAAGTGGAGACATTTCTTTTTTAACTGGCAAACACATTCACTGGTGGGAGAAATTAATAACTAAAAATAAGAATTAAAACTCTATTTCCACTATAGCTTATGACTACAGGGGGATATAGAATAGATGTTCGTACAGTATTGTGCTGCTAGAAGGAATGAATAGACCCAAGTATAGCTTATATATCTATTTCTACTATATATCTATTTCCACTATAGCGTATGACTATAGGGGGATATAGAATAGATGTTCGTACAATATTGTGCTGCTAGAAGGAATGAATAGACCCAAGTATAGCTTATATATCTATTTCTACTATATATCTATTTCCACTATAGCGTATGACTATAGGGGGATATAGAATACTATTAGATGTTCGTACAGTATTGTGCTGCTAGAAGGAATGAATAGACCAAGCATAGCTTATAGATTTACTCTTTCTATAGCTTTGCTGTCTAGATAGTCTGTGGTATTCTTTTGTGTCTCAAGTAGCTGATAAGGCTGAATTTGGCATTGGCACCAGAACAACCATGGCATTGTTCAGAGGGATCAGCAACTGCAGTGATTGCCAATTGATTAATGTGGAGTCTAAAATCCAACTCTCTTGACAATGGGGGAGGATTTGGTGTTTCGACTATGTATATAATTTTCTTGCAACGATGAAACAGTTTGGCTGACCCCTTCGTCACATGAATCACTGAAAATGGTGGGCCCTTAAATCGTTAATGCGGGCACAAATGGACAGCTTTCAATGACGGGGCATTTTATGGGAAAGATTTGACTTCATTACTCCTGGCAATAGCAACTCGCAGATACTTAAATTTTCATTAACTTCTCATTGCCTCAGCCTGAGTCTAAATGGTGAAGGCCATTTTTCCTGGCTGCTATTACTGGTAATGGTGGACCTTTATTTGCTGTGGAAAAACATAGAGGACATACAGACTGCAATTTAAAGTTTTAACCCTTTGAAATTGGTAGCTGAACAGTAACTTGTGAAAGGTATAACTTGAGCATTTTCTTGCATATAAAAAGGAGATCGAAATGGTCATGTTTATGGATTTAATACCAGTTAGATTTAACTAGTATATTGTATCCGTGACTTTTATCTATACAAACAACGTATAGTTACAGCCTTGTCAATAGCAGAGATCTGCTTACTACATGCAGTAGATTATTATGTCCAATTGTTTTGATGATACATGTAAAAGTATGCTATACATAATATTGTACATATCCAGTATAAGACTACACAAATGTTGAACCCTTACGTATCTTTTTTTAATTGCTGAAACTCCAACAAACCTTTCCCTGTCTACAGGATGATGAGAGTGAGACTGCAACTGTAGTAGCGCCACCTACATTCACTCCTGACAAGGTAGAACTGCACCCTTTGTTTACACTGCAAAAAATTGACATGAGGTTTCCACAAATGTTTAAGATGGAGTATGCGGTATTCTTCAACAAATATTTTTAGTCTTTGGCAACTGAGTTGCCTGTATGCATGTGGACTGCAAAGAACCAGAGATCTTCTGCTTTCCACCTTAATAAAATTGTTAATATCTATGAGCATGCATACTGCAATGTAGGCTTCCTTGCTCCAATTTAAGTTGTATTACATATTGAGGCAATCAGTATAAGTTCAAAGTTGCATAATTATGTTCAGTGAGATTCATTTTGCAACTGACAGAAGTTTATGGAAAGAGACACCCTTTCATTTTTTTGTAATTCAACTACTTTCTTTGAATCAACAACATTTTGCAAACTTCTTGGGATTAGATTTTGTTTCCAATCCAACTAGATTAAATGTTAGCATAACTGCTTCTTTAGGAAAATTGTTCTTGGACTTGTCTTGCTTATTAGTCATTAATAGCAATCAACTTGAGCAGCATGAAAAGCCAATGCCAGAATGTAGCATGCACATTGAAACCAAAATCAGCATGATAGTGTGGTACAATGCAGTTATTTGTGGTGAACCTCATGGCAGTTTTTTGTTGTGTAACTGTCAGCTGTAGTTCGGAGGGCTCTAACCTTCCTCCACTCAGAATCTGCTATGGATTTGTGAATGTTGCACAGACAAAATATTCTTACTTCACTGTGCAACTTTGAAATATGTCCTCTGCCCTCTCTAGGGTAGCTCTTTCAAAAGTCATTATTGGCTTGGTGGTGGTACAATAAATTTAATGTACAATGTAGATGTCAAATTGCATTCCATAAATTTTCTAATCTTCCATTAGTGCAGTTGCACTACAGGTACATGTAGCTTGGTATCTGTAAAGTACACTACATGTTCATTTTGTATTAGTTGATGTTAGAAGATGATAAACTTGCGAAGTCCATAAGTGTTAAAGCGAGCACACTTGAACTTGTGCGTTGACCCAGGAATCGGCAGGTGAAGCGGCGGATGCGGAAGCGAGTGAAGACCCGAGTCGATTTGACTACTGTAAAATCTGCGGCGTGACGTTCAACTCTGCCGTCCACGCCCAGTCACACTACCAGGGCAAACCTCACGCCAAGCGGTTAAAAGCTCTCATGGCTGCACAGAACAGACAAGATGGCACGGGGGCAACTACAAGGTACATCTCACATGTTGAATTTCAATGGCTCATGTGATGTATCTGTACATTGTGTATGTCAATTAAATTCTGGCTCCCATATTTCTGGGTTTTGTCCATATGTAACTCTTGGACTGGAAGCAATGACAGATTTGTAAGTAAGCAGTAGTTTACTTAGTTTTAGGATAAGGATTAGGAAAAAAGCTTTCTCCAAAGAATTAAAATCTGATAAAACTCAGATGACCTATGTTTTTCCCAGTCTATTTAAGTTAATCAAGAAACTCCCAGACCAAAGGGCGGTCCCACCTTGACCTCCAAAGCATCGGTCCACATAAAATTTTGCCTTCGGGCAATTTATCTGATAGCCTGGACTGCACAGTAAATGGCTCCGCTGCAGATAAGAGCAGTTTTGTCACGTACCGTTATCATCAGCTTTCATGGCCTGTCCAGCCTCCCCATTACAGGATGCCCCTTCGGAGACAATATATCAGCACGGCCCTTTCTCTATCTGTTCTGGATGGAAAACTCCTAATGGGCTGCCTTTGGAAATCAGACGGGAGTCCTATTTGTATCACTGAGTGGTAATGGAGGGTAAGCTGTGATCTGCAAGAGAAAGCAGCTCTTACTGATTAAAAGAGATTGTTCAAATACGTCCTGCGTGTGTCTTTTAATGGATGAAAAGGAATGGCTGTCTATTGATGGACAGACCTAATAAAAGTGGCTAATACATAATTCCTGTTGTTTAAAACTTTGATCTCAGCTCCTAACATTACCATACAAATGGAGTTTAAGATGGAAGGTTGTAGGCTGGGTGTGCTTATTGTTAGACATTACGTCTATTGCATTCTTGATCTTATGTGTCTCTTCCTCTCAAAGAAAAATTGGATAAACAAGAATTTACTTGAGTTGGATGAGTGCAACCCCTTTTACAGAACGGTGCGGCTTTACATGAAGGCTTCCAAAGCGATCTTTTGGTCTGTTTTTTGCACTTGAATCCAACGCACGTAAACCTTCTTTATCCAAGTTTTCTTTGCCCCTGTCCTTTGTAGGCAAAAGTCGCAGTTCTTGTGCCAGACGTGCAATATCTACCTAAACTCTCAGACTCAGTTGGAAAGCCATTTGTCCAGTATGAAGCATCAGCGGAAGGCCACGCTGGACAAGCAGACGTCACAGGCGCTCAGGGGGCGCTGGGCAGGGGCAGACACAAGTAAGTCAGATATGTGAGCCATGTGTACATGTACATGCATTTGGCTCCATAGTCAACATTTCCTGAGGAACAAATTAGGTGAAACGTGCAGGGACGAACAGTACAGTGGCTCCCGGGATACATATTTTGTTTGTCATACATGTACCTGGGCCATGATGTTTGATATGGGTGATGACAACAGGGTGCTAACGGTTATGACAGGGGCTTCCACAAGTGTCACAGGATAATTTGAACATGTTTTGCAAGCGCCGCTTTCCAAAAAATGAATCCTGAAAATTTGAAAAAATGAATGCACTGTTTAAGACTGCATCTACTTATTGTTGAGTTACTGTCTGAATCTGAACTTGAAAATGTATGTGTCAATGAAGATTAGACATCCAGGTACATGTACTGAGATAAACAATCATTTCACACTACTTTGCCACTGATGAAAAGTACCAGTTGCTTGAGTAACGATGTCCTTGTGTATGTATGTCTGTTGTACAGATGGAAGGGTAGGAACTCCACTTTTCCCCGTGGGGCCGACGTTTGTGCCAGCCTCGTCCCCCGCCCCCTCCCCCCCAGCGACCAAGCCCCCCAGGGTGCCCAAGGACCTTCTGAACTGCATCACCCCCTCGGGGAAGTTCTACTGCGCGGCGTGCAACCTGACGCTCAACTCCGAGGCACAGTTCCGACAACACCAGGAGAGCAAAAAGCACCGCGCCAAGAATGCTGCTGCTAAGAAAACGGACGTGCCGGCCGTGCCCACATGACCAGCAGGGGAGCTGTAGCTCTGGGTTCTCTTAAGTTATGCAACAGACGTTAAACTTAAAGCTTTTGGCAAGGAAGGAAGCGAGGGGTGCAGTTATCGAGACCAGGTTGTTTTGGACGAGATTCATCAGTTGACCTTCTTGGCCAAAATCATTGTATAGCATTCTCATAATGACCCTATTGGAACATCTCCCTACTGTTGGGTCTTCAGCAGCCCAAGCTTGCCAAAACCTGTTATCTACATGTAAGTGAGTATAATGTCGGAAAGGGGCTACAACGAGATGATATGATGCTGTCATCATAATGTCTGTCTAGAAACATCTGTCTAGAGTCTAGACACATTTTTTCCCGTGAAAACAAACATTCTGAGAAAGTTCTTGATGTCAAACATTCAAGACTACAAACAAAAATGAAAGCTTTTGTGAATGAAGTATACATTATTTATGATCACACTTTTGGAGAAAACAAACTGTCCTTGAAAACTGTCCATTACCAGAGCTGCTATGTTGTTGGTTACCTGTTGAGAAAATAACAAATTGCACCATTTATACTAAAATATGGCACATTGTAGCCACTGTGTATAAAGCCCAGTAAGCTTTGTAAGAGAAAGGCAGAAGCGCCACCATGTGGCCCAACTTGGCATAGCACCCCTTTCTTCCTTCCCTTATCAAAGTGTGATGTAGATATTCCTGACTGTGGGTTTGTCCAAGAGATTTGTAGTAGAAAGTTGATAAATGGACGATAATTGCTTGTACATAGAGTGTGCTGTATTTATCTATTGTAGGACTGCTTTCTTGTCTTGCTTTATTTTTGTTTGTCCTTGTATTCATATCACTACAGGAACACAGAAAAGTTACAGTTGGTGTGAAAACCAAGTTAATGTTCACCTTCATCATTTCACCATGAGGGTACTACCCAATAAAGAAAGAAAACATACTGTCCTCTCTAAAAACTGGTGTCTGCAATTTTAGACATAAAAAGTTCGTGGGCAATGGGATGTCTAAACATTTTGACAATCAAAAGGCTGCCCTTCTGTCTTCAAGCCTTGTACAAAAATGATGAAATTATTATATAATAAGCAGTTTGTAGGGGAAGTGAAGCATGTATTTGCATTTTTGGGTATTGCTCTGATGTAAATTTAGAACTCAGTATTTGTCACGGTGTTACAACATCTTATATGTATTTCTTAGTTTTTAGTTTTTAGTGTCATGATACAAATCTTTACAATAACAGGACAACTCATGTTCCTGTCATTCTTTTATTTTTGTTTTATTTTAGCTTGTCCTGTTTCATTTTAGATTTCAGAAACCCTTGTAATGAAAGGTCATGAAAGTTTTTATTGTATCAAACAAGTGTTTGTTAGGCTTTTACAGTGAGAAAAAAATGTGCATACTATCTGATCATTATAATGGCTTTACTGTTCTTTCATATTCTATTGCTTCTGTAAATGTTAACTCCCAGCATTTGTGTTTTTATTTATGATATGTCTATAGATTGTGGTTATTTTTTAAAGAGATTTGTTGCTTGTTGGTTATGAAATATCATGTAAAATGACTGTGAGACAAAGCAGCCTTTGATAACAATTCACTGAGGCAACATTACTAGATTACATGTACATCATAGTTCTTCAAGGTTCCAATCTTGAAAACTAGGTACTAGTAATAAGATTTCATCCCCTTACCCATACCTTTCCAGTAAAACTCAAACAGAAACATGGCAACACTAAAAATGTGTGGCAATTTTTTGCTTGGTACACATTTTGTCACAATAATTAATGTGGAAAGGGAAGTAAAAGAAGCCACACCAGTCTTGGTCTCGGTACATGTAGTATGTCACTTGATGGAAATTGTGTTTGCAATGGGAGAATAAGGGTTAGAATAATTGTTGTAGATGTAAAGTAGGGGACAATGTTCAGTCTACAGTTGAGAAAAATGCTGAAAGGACTACAGTATGTCAAGACACAGAGAGATAATATCTGTACAGGGCTATTTTCAACCACATATCTCTCTCAAGAGCATACATATAATATAGTACAGTCATATCACTACAATCTTCTGTGAAACTAAGGATTTAAATGTAAACAGAGATGTGCAAAATGTAGTTTTTTGAATGCTCACAATAGAGAATTTTTAATTAACCTTCTCCCTGCTGTGGGTGTGTCCATGCACCCAACATGGTATTTGTTGCAGCAGAAATCAGCAGGGAGGGGGTTAATAGATCTACATGGGTAGTTGTGCCACAGACAAAAGTGTTTTGTGAGATATCCCGCTAACTATAATGCCGACTGTTGCTATAACAGGATCCTGTAAACTGTACATGTGTGTTACCTTGGGTCCTGTCAGGTGCTCTATAGAAACTGTTTACAAGGAATTCTTGACTAGGCTGCACCAGTTCTACATCCAGAAAAACATTTTACTCAAGTACCATTTTTGTCAAGTTGAATGTGTTTGCTAGAAAAAAAAAGCTGTGAAAGATCGGTGCAACCATTCCCCTTGTATCCAGACAGGAAATCAACTGAAAGTTGTGTAATTATTGACACATGCTTTCATAGTTGTCTACTATTGAGGGGCTCTTTTATCATCAAAACAAAATTCTACATTCACCAACTGAATTCTAGAATTTAGTAAAATTGTTATGTCCAGGGTAGAAATGTATATGTTATAGCCATGAGAATATATGTTGGCAGGATGATGGCTACTGTATTTGTAGTACCAGTAGCATACAAACAAAAACTGTGGACGTCTAGAAGTTGTGGGATATTTTATTTCTCTATTGTGTAAGTGATTTCATGTCAGATATGTCATGATGGTACTAAGGCAATTCATTTCTGCTTCTCAAAAATGTCTAGTATGTATTCAACTTTGTTGCAGTTGTATCTTATGATAGAAGTAACTTTTGTTGTCTTTATGTACATATTAAATGGGATGAGATTCCTTTGATACAAAATATATGTGTGGTATTATTTGGGTGAGAGGTGAAGTATAAATGATATTCTACAGTAAGAAGAGTAGAGGTGTGAATGGGATTAAGGATAAGCTATATGAGTTCTTGTCAGTAGCATTCAGCACCAGGGACAGGGTTGCTGATGTAAAAGGTACTGTGCACAAGAGTAGGCCATGTTTTTTTTGAAAATATTCAGCACCAGTAAAGGGATCTTAACATAATATTTATTGAGGGGTAGGGCAGTTCAACAATTCAGCACAGGGGTGTAGGTGTGAAAGTATTCAGTACCAAGGACAGGGACTAGTGTGGACTCATGTTTAGGCCACAGCATGTACATTAATTTTTGTCTGATTTTGGAGAAAAAAACAAGAAATTTTGTTGTCCTCTAACAGTGGTCAACTTGCCTAAAAATGTGCAAAGATGTTGCTATGCCATAAAATTTACTCGTGGTGGCCTTAGTGTGACAGGGATTCAGCACCAAGGACAGAAACAACCATACTGCAGAAAAGCTAATGTAACAGCAAAGAGCACCTTCAGCAAAGAGGACATCTTGAGAAACAAAGTTTCTGTGGTGAGATTCTGACATTTTAATGACACCTCTACAGCTATAGACATCATCAGAAGACAATACACAGGTATTTACAAACAATATGTACATCGTTGCAAAAAATAGTTGTGCTTGCTAGAATATAAAATCTTTAATTGACAACACTGTGTAAGGCACTATGGTGTATAATTGTCAGAGAGCACCACATCTCATATACTTGCAGCTAATTTTACAAGACTAGAAAGGCACTTCTTTTAATCAGACTATTATTTTTGGTCAAAACAGATTTCCTGACAAGAAACAAATCCATTATTAGCAAAAAAAAAGTTTTGTACATAACACTGACTGCAGGTGTACTGGTATCCCTGATAGCTATATTCTGACCACAGAATTCTGGCTGTAATCCTACCAAAGATTAACAAAACTCTTGTGTCCTGTTAAAAAACACAATAAACAAAGGTAATATAATAGACTCTACCTTTATGGTGTAAGTTTGTACACCTAGACATAACAAGTTGGACTACGTCAAAGTTCTGCACATCGATGCACAACATCAACTAAGGTGTGTTTTTTTTAAACTTAACCTCATTGCTTTACCCCACAGACTATCTGATGAAAGTTTTATGGAACAGGCATTGTAAATGTGGATTTGAAAGACTAACAAATTCTCAATTTCTCAGTTTTGCTTTGTTGAGAATTATAGTAGGAGTGTAATAAGATGATGACACATTCAACCACAGCATTGAGGATGTCTTGTTGCTATTGATACTTCACACCGGCTATCTTCTCCCCATGGCTGCAGCGATTCTTTTTCTGCTGGCGTTCATGCTGCTTCCTTTTCCTCTGTCCCCTGTTGGTTTAGCTCCTTCAAAACTCACACTGACGTTACTAGATGATGACCTGACCCCTCCCTTCCCGCTCCCAGCACTACCGGTCGAAGAGAAACTGTTGGTACTGCTGCGTAGGGAGTTCTCTGAGCGACTCTTCTGTCCGGAGGGCGGGCGAGGGACAGCGTTGGAAGAGAAGCCGGCGGGTGGACGCTGGAAGGTGAGAAGTTGCTCGCGTGCCTCGCTCAGCGCTTCTGTCAGCTCAAACCTCTCCTCACACTCTCGCCTTACCGTCTCTTGTAGAAAGGCAATCTGGGGACAAAGCATAACATTAACCTTTAAAAAACATGGGACCAAGTACTAAGTATATAACTTGATTTGATACCTTCATGTGCCGAAGTACATGTATGCTGACTAAGCAGGCTTTTAGTAGAAAAGTCCAAAGAAGACAAAACCTCTTTAGCTGAACAACCTAGAAAGTCTGTGAATAGTTTCATCAGGATGGCAAGTTACTGAAAAACGTCGGCTGAATACTAAACAAACACTATGTAAACAAAATCTCCTTATTGGTAATTTTAAAGTTTAGATGAGAGGTCATACACTACTCACCTCTTCTGTTGTTTGAGTGTTCTTCTCTTCCAGTTCCTTATTCTCTTCCCTCAGTGCTGCTAACTCTTCCTCCTTTTGCCTCATTAATTCCTTCATTCCTGCCAGTTGTTCATCATTCTCTCCCTCAGCCTTACTGAGCCGGGTCTGCAGGTCAGAGGTCAGCCGCTTCAGGCTGCTCACTTCCTGTTTGAGAGCTGCTTCCTGTCTGTCTGCCTGACCTCTGACCTCGTTAAGCTGTCTCTCCAAGTTAGTAATGGAGGCCCGCTGTTCACTGGTCAGCCTGCTGGCCTGGGTTTTCAGCTGGAATAGAAAATTTAAACATCAATGACACAGCAACAGCTGAATTAGTACACACTATACATGTACATCTTAAAACACCACAGAGGTCCATAGTGGTGGTACAAAAATCTATGCTTAGTTTGATGCCGTCTTACTTGTGCAAGTGGTTATTTACGGGGGTTTCGGATGGAGTAACTCTGTCTCACAAACTTGGGCCCAACTATCTGGTTGCCATACTACTTACTTAACAACACTAGACACCTTTTATAAGCTTTTCAAGTATCATACTTGATCAGTTAGTAACTTACAGTGTACATGGATTCTCAGGAAAATTAGCTTCATGATCACTAAAACTTGGTCAACAATAAAAGGTCAACTAATTATATATATAATTTTTTATTTTTATATAAAAAAGATTTCATCTAAAAATCATATGGTACATGTATATCCCTTATTGGAAACTGTCCTTGGCTCTGCTCCTTACCTTGTCGTGAAGGTCATCCTTCTCCTTGATGTATCTGTCTATCATCTCCTGGTGTTTCTGTCTCTCTATCTCAACATCCTGACAGACATGGAACAACAGCAGTAAGTCAGGAGCAACGTTTCAAAATTTCTTTTTTGTCTTGCATACACTACATGTAATTGCAAGCAGTTGTGTTTATCAGTTTAAATCCTTCCAGTTATGATAGTCAGTATAATTACAGAAATTCATCACATAACCTTGACTACACCAACTTTGAAAGTAAAGCTTAATATGTGAACCTGCTTGAAAACAGCGAGTAGCACTCACCATTCTGTATGACTCCTTCAGCCTGAACTCCAAGTCCTCCAGCTGCCTGGTGCAGTTTTCTCTCTCCTGTCTCAGGATATCCTCCATCTGATAACAACACAACTGTGTAAGCTTGCATGCAAAAATATGATTCTATCATCTGGCAACTTCCTGTAATATCATACATCATCAAGTTCCTAGACTCCCTCTCCAGATATCGCATTCTTACAGATGTACAAATGTAACTGAATTTTGGTAAGAAAGAGACACTTATGAGACCACAAAATTATGAGTTGTTACCTTGCCAGGCCACTGCTCTGCCTCCTGCAGTTTTTTCCTGAAGCTGTCCCTGAGCTGGTCAATCCTGTTCTGGTGGGACACAACCATTAACTCCCTGATGAAGAAAACAAACAACAGTTACCCTTCATTAAAATGTGATGTGTTTTTACTAATAGAGATCCAAAACAAACAAACAAACAGGTGAAGCACATGTACTGCTAGTACATTGCTACTGGGGTAATCTTTGTTGTATAGCCTATAGGTGAAAGTATCCATATCATGTTTGCACCATTTTTGTTCCAACTGATATGCTGAAATGTCGCGGGATGGACTAGTAATTTGTACAAGCACTTGCCTAGAGATATACATTGTATGTAAATGTACAATGTATCAATGTTCACATCTGACAGTTTGCACTTTTGACCTATCAACTATAACCTATGGCCCCTGACCTTTCATCCTTGAGCATTTTCAGCTCCTCCTGTGCCTTCATGAGTGCAGACTTGATCTCCTGTGCCTCCCCGAGCGACATGGAAGCCTTCCGTTTGAACTCCTCCTCCATGTTGTTCTGGTCCTGAAGCTGATTCCTCAGCCCCTGGCAGTCCTGAGTCAGCTGGGAGATGTACACCTCACACTGCTTCAGCTCTCTCTGCAGTCTGCAACATCGGGAGATTTATTTACTTTATTTACCTTTGCAGGAGAAAAACATTGTTTTTGCTCAGTTCATTCCCCTTGTTCTTCTTCTTTTCCTTCTTCTCCAAACAAATAAAGTCAATGACCAGGACCAGATGTCTGTCACCATGGTAACTGGTGCTGTAGCAGACACCCTGTGGTGTTGGGTTACATTATGTAACCCATATTAGGTATATTAGGTTATAGATCACTGCTGTGTAGAGACAGATGGTTAGAACTACAATCCTATAGTTTCTAAGGTTCTGACCAGAGGCGGCGGCACGAAATTTTGATTGGGGGGGCAAGATTTCGGGCGCCGAAGGCGCCCGTTAGCGAGCGCCGCAGGCGCGAGCCTACTAGGAGGGTCCGGGGGCATGCCCGGGAAATTTTTAATTCTAACCCCTCTGAAACGCTATTTCCAGCATTTTGAGCCCTAAATTTTTGTTTTATTTCAAGCTAAGTTTAATGCCCCTTCTAGAGTTTCGTCTATGAATTCTTCCATATGAAACAGAACCGAACGGTCATTGTGTGTCATTTAGGGAATAACACCCTCCTTCATCTCAGCAGTTTGTGTTCTATCTTAAGCAGTTTGTGTTCAATTTTTAGATCATCATACAGAAAACTCTTTGCTGTCATGTCCAATGTTTCAATGGACTGAGTAGGTAGAGGCGGCGGCAGGAAATCTTGACCGTCAGTGGGGGGCGAGATTTGTATGGAACCCACTATCGAGCGCCGAAGGCGGCGAACCTAGAGGGGTCCGGGGGCATGCTCCCCCGGAAAAATTTGAGATTTTAACCCTTTGAAACGTGTTTTCCAGCATTTTCGGGGGAAAATTTTGCTGCTACATGAAGCTAAATTTCTAGTACTTTGTAGCTATTATATGTAAGTTTCTTACTCGCTATTCGACTGCATGACGTCCACGAACTTCTTCCACAATACACAAGGGGGATCGGGGCTTGCTCCCCAGGAAAATTTGAAAATCTCGACCCTCTGGAAACGCCATTTCCTGTATTTTGGGAACGCATTTTTGATGTTTTGCTGGGTACACATTTCGTCTATTCGTCAATCGAATCTCAGTTCGCCTCACATCACAGAAGATTTCTTAGTAGGACATTCTGAGATCTGACAAAAAATGTTGAGCCAGTCCTTGGTTTAATTAAAATTTAATACCTTGTATGGTTTACTCTCATCGGCTTCGGGAAATTCGAGCGGCGTGGTGCGGGCCGGGAATATCGTTGCATACACGATTCTACACACGTGAAAAATACTGTTGTGCTGTTGGGAAGGGCACGGTGTGCCCGGCAGCCGCTAAAATAAACTGTATGTTGTCATCAGAAGAACTGGATTTCAATTTTACCGATATCGTTACAAAGGGGTCAGCAGAACAAACTCTCACAGCGTGAGAAACTCGTGCGATATTCCTAGAAATACGTAATGCACAGCTGATAAACCAATCAGAGCGCAGGTTTTCGGGGGTGAACCAATCAGAGCTTACAACTCGCGGTAATACCTACATGTAGAAGACGGTGTTCGTGTGATTTCAGATTTCAAGTGGCCGCGCAGCGCGGAAAATGCGTTTTACAAGTGGTTTTAAGGTAGAAATCGAACTGTTTGCTGGCTTTTCCTTACATCTAGAGAAAATACACTAGAAGTTCAGCATGATTTTTGGGGGGGCGACGCCCCCCCAATATATTTTTGGGGGGTCG